TCATTTAAACGACGATCGATCATGGAAATGATCGAAAATGGACATCCCTAGTCCGCACATAACTCTTATTTGACGTTGTCCCAAGTTACTGTAACCGTTATATGCTACGCAAGTCTTTTTTTATGCCATGCAAATCTACAGTGTGCGCGTGAAACAATGTGTTCTTCTGTTGTCTTTGACAGCTTTTAGGTGCGTTATTGACAACGTCACATGAACGCGTCACCACCGCATCAGCACGGAAAACATGGGGAGATTTTTTAACACAATAATCGCACAACCTATTCGATATTCTATAATTAAATCAACTAATGGAATATTCAAAAATCGTGACCCATCCCTAGCATGTACGTCAGCATTTGTTTGTATAAATCATGGTCAGTGCTAAGCTGGGTAGACTATGTAATTAATTTGAGGGATACACCCATTAATGTTTTCAACAGTGTACATTTCACACATTTAGAAACACCCACACACTTTTATTCCCTTCATACAGTCAAGCTCTGTAGTTTTAAACCTCAGCAGACATTGTATGGTTTGTCTTGAGATTCTTTATGACCTGATTAGAGGTGTGCACAAAGTTGAATATTCAAATATTCAATATGTAATTATTGTTCGAAAAAATAAAAACACTTCGTATTTTACAACGTTTTGCTTTGCTGGTCGTAAATGCAGGGAATCCATGATAAATCCTAAGCATGCAAACTAAAAGTCAGTTATTACTAAATGCACTGGGTGGCACTGTGAAGTAGGGTTGCACGGTTTACCGGTACTACGGTAGTATCACTATACTAAGGCTCCAAAATACTGGCGGTGCCACTGTATTTTTTAAACTGTAGTATCGTATGGTTCTACCGTAAGTAATGTATGTGGGGCAGTTGCTAAAATGTTTGAACACTTGTGCCTTCAAATAAACAATACAAAAGCGCCTTTTTTGTCCTGTTGCCTTTCTGCGGTGCCCTTTAATGGCGCAAAATGCTGTGTAGAATTCGCACCTTATGCCTGTTTCACACTGGATGCGCAAGCAGAGCGGAGGCAGCGCAGAAGCTGTAATTAAACAGAGCGGGAGCCGCATTGTGCTTCCACACTGGCAGCGTTTGTCACTCACACACATGCATATAACATGCTGTATAGTGTAGTTTGCATGATAAAAGTAATCTTAACATTAAGATATACATATAAACTATAGATTTGATCATTCAAATGAGCCTTTGAAATTTGGGCAAAAACTCCTGGCAATGATGTGTTTTCGTGCATTTATTAAGCCTATTTTTTCACAGCACTGAATGTCATATGGTGGATGGGAAACACGGAACTGCCGCGCCGCCTTTGCGTGTGTTGTGAAAACTCTAACCCAGTGGTTCCCAATCCTGGTCCTGGAGAACCTCCAACACTGCACGGTTTTGGTGTCTCTCTTATCTGACACACACATTTGAGGTCTTGGAGTCTTCACTAATGAGCTGATGAGTTGAATCAGGTGTGTTTGAATAGGGAGACATCTAAAATGTGCAGTGTTGGGGGTTCTCCAGGACCAGGATTGGGAACCACTGCTCTAACCTGTCAACCTGGGCACCAAAAAAAATACGCTCTGCTTATGTCCTGCTTACATGTGCGGTGTGAAACCGGCCTTATATAATATGTATGTATAGTATATATCTCTCAGTTCGCATGGTATTGCGATACTACTTGGTATCGTGATACTTCAGCTGGTATAGTATTGTAACGTGTTTATGGTATCGTGACAACCCTACTGTGAAGCATGTTAACAGGTTGATTTATTTGATCACAGAATGTCGCCGTCTGCCTCACAAAGTTTGGAATTACTTTGATCAAAATGATCTTACTAAAGGATCTTACATAATGTAATGACTTTTGATCAAATTAGTCAGCGAAACGGAGTTATCATAATATCACCACCACAACGAAAATCCACATGAAATCCAAACATCAGTCGACTGGGGAAAGACAGCTGTCCATCACTGCATTCATGACTGCAGGTAAGCACAGCTGTGGCCCGAGTGAGCGGAGAAGAGAGCTTATCTGATAGCCAAATGATCTTGAGACAGATGCTCCCTTAAATTTACTCGAGGGAGAGTGGTTTAAGAACAGAAAACACAAAGTGCTGAAAGAAACTTTGCTTAGCACTCTGTTATCTTCGTGTCTATATATATTGTAATATATATATCGTTTACACACATTTTCAACTAAAAGAAAACCTTGAGATATAATGTAACATTATTGTAGAATATTGGTGTATAATGCCTAATCATAAGCTTATTCAGAAATAGTGACAAAAACTTGATTATTAAAAAATAACGTCTTTCTCGTTAAACGTCATTTAAATAAACGAATATTAGAATATTCATTTTATATGAGCCCAAATGGAGAATGTGTAGATGGGGTTTTGAGTGCATATGTGTGGAGTTTTGTGTGTTCGCATGTGTCTGATCTCTGGCTTTGGCACAGGAAGTGAAAGTCTTTTGAAACGGTGTGTGTGCACATGTTGTTTTAGTGTTATGTGTACTGTTGCCGTTAAGGGTTATTGAGTTCATGTGTGTGTGTTAGGGCTGTGAATCTTTGGGTAGACAGCAAATCGATTCGATTCACGATTCATAGGTTTTCGATTCGATTCAAGAACGCAAATTCAGAACGATTCAATTCGATTCACAATTAAATTCGATTCGATTCGATTAACAATTCGATTCTGCATTCTTTAAGTGCATTCACAGGATTATTTAAATGCTTCCCCTAAATTCTTTAAATGCTTAGTCAGGGGGCAAATTACACAGCAGCCTTTATGGTTACAGAACCATAGGTTTGAGAAAAAAAAACCACTTTTGTCCATTGTTAGATGCTAGTTTAATGATGCTGTGGCATGACATGGCATATGTAGAAATTTATGTAAGACAAGATTTTAAAAAAGAGCTTTAAAAGTATTATGTACAGGCTAACATTTTGTCATACCAGGGGCGTAGCCATCATTTCAGAAGTGATAGAAATGTCAAATACAATAATTTTATGCATGTATGTATGTATTATTATAATTTTTTTTTTTTTTGTTTTTTTTACAAGGAATTCTTTTCTTATCTCTTACTTTGAATTTGCTATACAAAATCAAATACACTGCTGGACAATAATCAATCATTTGTAATCAATAATTTTTTCCTAATGGCAATTTTATGATTGTTTTATATACTACAAAAAATATTTCAATTTTCCGCGCAGAGTTAGGCAGAACATATACTTTATAGTTTCTGTACTGTAATAAATTATATGTCAATTAGCACTGCATCGTTCATAAATTGTATTTATTTATTGTGTTTATTATCTTAACGTTTCAGTTCATTCTGCTTTTTATACAGTTTAGCTGCAGATATAGCCTGGCACGTCTGAGCGCGAGATCATTTCTCTTTCAGTGCGAAAACTTTATCTCATTTTCATAAAATAAAATGCTATAGCATTTAACTTTTCCTCTCCGTCGGCGAAAATGCGCAGCCTTCGACAGTGCTCATGTAGGCTAATGTCGTCGGCATGACCGAGAGGCGAGAGCCATTGAAAAACTACAGAAAAGCAAAACTACTTCACTTTAGCATTACTGGCCACGAGTACTAAGGTGAGATCACACATCAGTTGCTCAAAAAATGTGTCAGTGAGACAAACGGAGCGCGAGCGCAATCCTGTGACAGTCTCAGGCGGTAAATAGTGGAGCGCGTGTGTGTATATGTGTTTGCTCTTGATCATTCTAAGCTACAGGAAGGCCTGTGAACCACCTGATCATACAAAGTAAAGCAAATCTTCCCGTTCAGGCCTCAATCAAAACATGTACAAGTAGAACAGCTCGATTAATCGAAATAAAACCAAAGTTTGGGTCACTTATAACATGCATTTGGGAAAAATTATCATATTTGTTTCTTACACACTAAAGATTTATTTTACATAATAATAATAATAATAATAATAATAATAATAATAATATATCTGTTATTAGATTCCCATTGTGGTGTTTCGGAGAAACTGTTTCCTTGATAGGATGGCAATGCTTTATCTCAGACTATATTGCAGATATATACAGTATATAGAGAGAGCGAGATAGAGAGAACTGCTTTGTAGAATCAGATAACACTGGAAGGACAGGTGTTTGGTTGACTTAACGTGAGAACAAGAGATGTTGTGTATGTGTGATTGATGTGAGTAATGTATTCGTGTGAGGGTCAAGCACTTCTTTTTCCTCTTATAACTCTCACTGTGTCCACCGCCATCAAGGTTGGTTTACTCTTCGCACTCTCATGTAAAAAGGCTCACTCCTATACCAAGCATGGCACGTCACTGTTGCCTTCGCAGCACAGCAGCAAATAGTGCCATGGTTACGCTCATCTTTGGTCTAGGTGGCCTGTACTTAGCAGATTATTTGTGAAATAATTGCAGAGATCCTGACCGGTCCTGACTGCTCTTGTATTACTGGGTTTCATTGGGCTCATCCTTAATGGATGTTTAGCTCTGCTGTTAGTATGTCTATGGGGATTCTCAGTCATCCAAGTCACTGTATTCTATCTTGTATATTTTATTAGACATGTATTTTTCCCTCATTTGTTTGAATAAATACATCATGACTATTATTTAAAGTGAGCTCTTGTAGGTATTGCAGCCTTACTAAAATCTTGTCAATAGTTCATTGCTAGTTGATGTAACAAATTTAATTCAGCCCATTCTGGTATGAAACACCCATGTTTTTCACGGTCCTGTTAATTCCCAGTGAATAAAATCAAGTCTTGCCCTCCTTATGAATTTAAAGCTTTTTGTATTACTGGAATCTTATTCACCCATCTGAAGTCGGTTATGTTCTGATATTGTAACTGCTATTAAATGTCAACTTTGTGTAAAAAGTGTGTAAAAAGGTGAAACTGGTTCGTTAACCTTTTAATTCTGACATTATTTCAGATGAGACTAATGTCTGTATCTTATCCATTATTCATTTCTCTTCCTGCTCTTTTCTCCCCCTACAGAGGTCAAGAGCCCCACATCCGATATGAACACATTTACCTACAGGATCCCAGCAGCCAATCAGAAGTGGAGTACTCAGAGATGAAGCGTCCTCGCTTGGAAATCGGGGCGGATTCTCTTATTCGTCACTCAACCCATCGTCAGTCCCTTAATGTGTGTGGAGCTGAGGAAATGGTTTGCAATAATTTTTTTTCTTCTTCCCCAGCATCAGCATAGATGTTAATACCCAGATGTAGGGGTGGGTGATCTGATGATTTTATATTGTGATTGATCTTGAAGACATCTACGATCTACTTTTCAAGTGAATTGTAGAGATCGTGATCTTTTACGTCTTTACAAAAATGTTAAAACTACAGCAATGAATCTCTACTAGGTGATTGTGACTTAAAACTGTGATGATACCAGCATTTCCCGCTAGCAGTTTGAGTGCATTTTGAGCGGATTCTTAAACACCTCTGATTGGTCATTGTGTTCAAGCACTCAACATATATGTCTGTGATTAGCTGCAATGATCATCGCTTCATGCTCTTCACTGAGTGCTTACACAAATACACACAGGAGTGTTTGAAAGCTGCGTCTATCAGCGGATCCGTCAGCGAATCCCTAATATTTCTGCTCATAGACGGATCCATAGTAGGGATGTGCGGGTCTAGTCGACTAAACGGTACAGCTCCTACTAGTCGACACTGAAACCAATAGTCGATTACAGGACAGAAAAAAAATAAAAACAAAACCATGATTTTATCATTCAAATTACCATCATTTTAACATTGCATTTAAAATAAAAAGTTAAAATAAAACGTTTGAAAAATAATGCATTATCTTTAAAAGTTTATCTGGGCGGAAACTACATTTTTACCTCAGACCTCACATGCGTTTTCTTCGTGTCAGTTGCGGCCAGTTCAAAAATGACCATGCGAAAGACGAGCAAGGTGTGGGATTATTTTGAATTAGACAGAAACGGAAAAATTGTGTGTAAACTGTGTAATGTCAAATTGTCTTACAATAACTCTACTGGAGCGATGCGTAATCATATTCAATACAGGCACGTAGGCGTTAGCTTAGAGTCAATCACATCATTCACTACAACCTGCCGGCGCTGCGATCCCGTCTGTGCCGTCTATTCCTCCAACGAAGACCCACTTCGGTGGTGGTGCTGGATGTCCAGGCGCTTTCTGAAACTCTATCGGCTTGCTTTTCGTTATCTCTGCGTGCCTGTGGCTTCAGTTCCTGCCGAGGGCGTTTTTTCAAATGCAGGAATTTTATTGTTAATCGCCCATTATCGTTAAGGTCCCGTCTTTCACCAGACCACGTTGATAATTTCACTGAACAAATAACGCATGGTCTGAGTAAGTAAAA